GCGAAATAACGCAAACTCTACGTACGCCAGGTACGCGGCAACTCTATATTATTACAAAAAATCGTAATCAAATATATTATCTTTTCAAAAATTATGTTTATAGCCAAAATAATTCTTTGCAAAAATTAATCATTATCAAAAATATTTTCTCAAAAATTATATTTATAAATTATATTTTATTTTGTTAATAATACTAGAAAAAAATTAAAATATTAGCATCAAAAAGTAGTAAAATCAAAAAATTGCGCTAAATAATTATATTAATAATACGAGAAAAAATGTTAAAATATTAGAATCAAAAAGTAGTGAAATCAAAAAGTTGCACTGAGTAAGTGACAACATAATATATAATATTTAGATAAATTTCCTATAATGATACAAATGTATAATTATTGCTTTATTTTAAAACGTTTATAATATATACAATAACAAAATAAATTCAGTAAAATATATATATATATATATATATATTTATCTTTAAATTTAAATAACATGAATAATTATGTAATTAATTTAAACTGGAATGTATATACATTGTAAAATTATTATATAATTTTATAAAATATTTAGATAAAAAAATATATATAATAAAATAAATTATTTATCTATAAATAATTATTTAATTCAAATATATTTAAACGTATAATTGTTTACTTTTTTTTTTAAAGACCACTATATAATAATGATAATTTTTTTTCTTTTCAATCTTATGCAAAAACAAAGGTTTGCCAAAATTTAGCTTTTGTCCAAACTCTAAAGTAACTGTAATATTATTAAATAGAAAAGAGAAAGATGGGGGAGAGACAGAGAGAGAGAGTGTGGGAGAGGGAGGAGAGGGAGAAGGAGAGAGAGAGGGAGAGAGAGAGGGGAAGAGAGAAAGTGGTGGAGAGAAAGAAAGAGTAAAAGAGGGAGGAAGAAAGGGGGGAGAGGGGGGAGAGAGTAGGCGAGGGAGAGCGAGAGAAAGCAAGTAAAGACAAGGGAGAGAGCAAACGAGAACGCGAAAAAGCGAGACAAAAGCGAGAGAAGACAAGAAAAAGCAAGGAAAGTCGAGAGAGAACGAGGGAAACCGAGAGAAAACGAGAGAGAGCGAGAGAAAACAAGAGAAGGCGAGAGAGAAAGAGAAAGAGGAAGAAAGGGCGAGAGAGCGTAAGAAAGCGTGAGAGAACGAGAGAAAGCGAGAGACAGTAAGAAAGACCGAGAGAGAGCGAGAGAGGACGAGAGAAGACGAGAGAGAGAAAGCGTAAGAGAGCGAGAGAATGCGACAGAGCAAAAGAGAAAGAGCTTGAGAGAGAGAGAAAAAGAGAGAGAGAAAGAGAGAGAGAAAGGGGGGAGCGTAAGAGTGTGAGAGATAGCGAGAAAAAGTAAAAAAAAGAGAGGGAGAGAGAAGGCGAAAGAGAGCGTAAGAGTATAAGAGATAGCGGAAGAACGCGAGAAAACGAGGAAGAACGAGAGAGAGCGAGTAAAGACGGGAGAAAGTATGACAGAACAAAAAAAAGCAAAAAAAAGCGATAGAGAGCGTGAGAGAGCGTGAAAGAGCGACAGAGAGAGAGAGCAAGAAAAAGAGAGAGAGAGAGAGAGAGAGAGAGCGAGAAGAGGCGAGAAGGCGAGGATTGATGAGCTTTTATTTAGCTTTCTCAGCTATTTTCTTATACAGTTTTAACATTTACATATGTAAGATATGCGCTTTTAATCTTCTTTTAAATAATTCGAGCCTATCGCAAGTTTTAATTTCTACTGGCAGGACGTTATACAATATACTTCCTTCATAAAACAAACTTTTCTGTGCATTCCTTGTTTTTCGAAATTGAATTTCGATATTACCCGCTTGTCTTGTTTCCCTATCGCATTTGTTCCCTACTATTTGTAACTTATCTCTTAACTGATGAGGATGAGGGAGAGAGAGTGAGTGAGAGCGAGAGAGAGAGTATGAGAGAACGAGAAAAAGCAAAAGAAAGCGAGAGAAGCCGAGAGAAAGCGAGAGTGGATGAGAGAAAGCGAGAGCGACGTGAAAGAGCGTGAGAGAATGAGAGAGAGCGAGAGAAACCGAGAAAGAGCGACAGAGTGCGTGAAAGAGAGTAAAAGCAAAAGAAGGCGAGAGAAAGAGAGAAAGAGTCAGAGAAGACGAGAGAGAGCGTGAGAGAGTGAGAGAATGCTAGAGAAACCGAGAGAGAGAGCGTAAGGGAGCGTGAGAGAGCCAGAGAAGGCGAGAGAAGTCAAAAGAGATTGAGAGAAGGAGAGAGAGTGAGTAAGAGAGCGTGAGAGAACGAGAGAAGGCGAGAGACAGCGAGAGAAAGCGAAAGAGCGCGAAAAAAACCGAGAGAGACCGAGAGAGGACGAGAGAAGACGAGAGAGAGCGTAAGAGAGCGAGAGAACGCGAGAAAGAGCGGGAGAGAGAGCGAGAGAGGGCGAGAGAGAGCGAGAGAGAGCGATAGAGAACGAGAGAGAGCGTGAGATCTTCCTAGCTTGCAATAACCAAGAACTAAACTGTCGAACCATTTGTAAGTACCATTCAGCGTAAACATCTTCCACATATCGTTCTTTAGCGTGCGATTGAATCGCTCGACGATTGACGCACAGTGGGCCAGAATCCCGAAAACGTGGCCAAAATATGAAGCCATTGTTCGATTTTTGTAAAACTTGGTATATAAATGTTTTCGACGTCGCTGATTACGAATCTGAAGTGCAAATTTCAAAAACAGCATGGCGGATCCAATATGGCAGATGCATATATTAAAAAATTATAGGAAGTGACTGAAAACTTGATATCGTGGGGTTTTCGACATTGCTGGTCACGAATTTGAAATAGAAATAAATGAAAAGAACATAATAGAAGCAGAATATAGGACTGAAATATGAAAAATCGTATGACTTTGGAAAAACGAAAATATTTATTGTTTTTGGTTCAATGAAGATAAAAAATATATATTTTCAATTATTATTTGTACATTAAAATATTGTAAATAAGTTAAAAAATTTTTACAAACAAAAATCTTCGTCATTTTCAGAATCGCAATTAGCGTCGGATTCATTATCAGTAACTGAAGATTCGCTGTCATAATTAATAGCAATTTGTAAATTATCAGTGCTTGATACAGGGATTGTCAAAGAAGTTAATAATTCAAGAGCTTGTGGTAATAACAATTTAAAAAATTTTCGTGGTTGTTTTCGTATACTTGAAATATACGGATCTGAAGTAATCATCAATCGATTAAAAACATCTTCCATCGTTTTTTCTCTAGAGCATTTTCGCGTAAAATCTTCACGAAATCTTTTAATATCTTTATTACGTGCCTCTTGTGCTTCTTCGGACAATTGTCCAATAGGCAGTAAAAAGTGTTCTATAATTTCCGGGCCGTGAATTAAGAGTTTATAAATAGATGTCGGCATGTAATACCACGGATATAATTTTACGAACTCATTGGCAGTTTCTAAAGAATATGCTCTAAATAATTCGTTATCAATTTCGAAACCACTAGAGATAACTTGCAGAATGACGTGAAATCGATTTATAAGGCTTCCGGATACGCCTGTTATTGTGGCTGATGTTGTAGAATTTTCGAAAAAACGTCTTGCCATATTGCCGTCATTGGTACTTCCACAACCAGGCTTTGGACGATCGACTATTAATCCTAATTGTGTTTGAAATCCTCTTTGAATGATCGACTTACGTGTCTCGACAATTTCTCTTTCTTCGTCAGAATTTACTCGCCATTTTTTAATTGTAAGTTTGTACGATAAATGCAAACAGCATTCAAAAAGACGTATCCAGGCATGCAGTGTCGAAATTCCAAATCGGAGATTGCTTGTTTCTACTTTTCTTTGTAGCATCTTACGTATATCATTGAAGTCCTTGGATGTAGCATTGCATAAATAACATCGTAACGTTGATTTCGTTTCTGACACTGCATTACAAACCTTATTGTCAATCATCGTGAAATTCATGTTATATTGAACGCGGATCTCCATGCCATGTACTTGTGTCACAAGGGGATTAAGCGAATTTATTTGTTGTTCAATATCATTCACTTCATGAGCTGTTGTTTCAGCATTTTTGTGTTCAAATTGTAGTCTTATTGGTCTACAGAACCTAGGAGATGATGTTCTAGGATTCTGCCATATTACAAGATCCGTATCTAATTTTTCGTCTTTACAAACAAGTTGTAATGGCACAAATGACGTGAAGAACACATTTTCATCTGATATGCCGGCTTCGTTAAATTTCTGCTTATAAACACTGTGTCCAGAGCTTCCGTCACAACCCCACTTACAAGTAAGATGCAAATTTTTAATGTTTTCAATGCTCAAAGTACCAATAACTTCCCTTTGCAGTAATAAAATACGTTGTGCCGTGTGATCTAGTATACTTTGTAATTTTACTTCAGCATAATTCTCTTTGATCGTGATGTCAGTACGTGGTGGATAACAAAGTCTTTTAGATTTTACAACATTATTATAGGATGGATATAATTTACAGTTATTTTCTTTGCCTATGTTTCTAATACTTTGATACGTACGTTTTGAGAACTTGTGTTCAATTAGAACTGACAATGCTGCATCATTCGATAAAGTTTGTTCAACTTGAGATGTAGCAGCTTTCATATATTTAGTAGCTCTTGTTGGGCTTGTCAAAGTTACATCTTTTACAATTTTCGAAGCATTTAATTGTCCTGAAAAGCGAAGATTCATTTGAGTAGCGTAATCTAATTCTTCAGTGGTGTTAGATGTGCGAAGTTCTTCTGTTTTTCTGCGCCTCGATCGGTCAGACGCATCAGAAAATGATAAAGATGGACGACTTGTTTTCGATTGCGTTGACAGAGATTCGTCTTTTATTATAAATTCTGCAGTGTTTAATAGCCAGTTGGCGTATTTTTTTTTGAAATTCTGCTCCGTTCTATTGCAGTTTTGCCATTTAATTCGGAGTGAATGGAAATATTTAGAAAATGCAGGCTTTTGATCTGCAAGAATACAAATGTTGCGCCCTAATTTCTCAGTCCATGCTGCTTCTAAAATTTCGATTTGTTCTGACACGCTATCCTTCATCTTTGTTTTCATAATATTAAATATTTCTTCGTTCGTGCATTTTATTACGTTTGTGTCGGATCCTGTACATAAAACAAATATGATTATAAATATTAATATTTTAATATTATTTATATATTACGCAGATTTATGTGTTACATATCTTGTTCCAGTTAAATGTCATCAATGTAATAATTTATAAAAATAATATTAGATATAACTAATTTATATTAATAATTAATTTATAATATTATTTATATAATTAAAATAATTGAGATTTTTCAAAGGCTTTGTTAATTATAAATAAAATTAGATAAGTCAAAGGCAAAAGCCACCATTTACAAACTATTTGCAAAAAAGAAAAAAAAACGAAAATTTTATATGTAATTACATTATACAATACAAACAAATTTAATATGTAATTCTATTATATTACACAATTTGATCGTCTATTATAATTACAAAATAAACGCTTATCATTAATTTAGTATAAATACGAAATATATTGTATATATTATCTACAACAAATTAATTAGTAAAAATATTAATCATTCTTTTAAACGTTTCGATCCTTTTTTCGGATCATCTTCAGTAGATATAAAATAAATTGTAATAATTGTGATGTTTATAAAATAAATTATAATGATTGTGATGTTTCGTATGTGGGACAAATTAAAGAACACCGATCTGATGTTAATAAAAGATCTGGGCTGCCTTTAGTAATATCTACACATAAAATCACCACTAACCACGATAATATATATATTTTGTATTTATACTAGATTAATGATAAGCGATTATTTTGTAATTATAATAGGCGATCAATTTGTATAATATAATGGAATTACATATTAAATTTGTTTGTATTGTATAATGTAATTACATATTAAATTTTCGTTTTTTTTCCTTTTTTGCAAACAATTTGTGAATGGTGGCTCTTGCCTTTGACTTATCTAATTTTATTTATATAATTATAAATTAATATTGTTATAAATTATTGTAATACTATAAAAACGAATGGTAATATAATAGCATTTGTAGTTACAAATTATAAATAAATGTATGTGGCAGAAAAATAGTTGTATTTCTACTAAACTTTTGGATGGTACTGTACTTTCTGGAGAATCTAAAGCCTTAGACACAATGCGAGATAATAGCAGACCCTTGGAACAAAAATTTTAACGGACAGAAAATGTACGGCGCGATTCACCTATATTAAAATGCTTGGCACAGCATTCGATACCGAAACAAATAACGCGTAACGCTTTACAAAACTTTATCGCATTTTTACACGGGCAGCTACGGGCAGCTAGAAATTGCACGATTCGAAAGAGGAAGGTTTAATTTAAAAGATTTTACCAATCCGACCTTGGAATGCGGTGGTATACATAACTATTTCGTTCGGTGAAAATTTAATTTCTCCAAAATACATTGTATTGTACAGACCAAAGTTCGATTTTAAAAAAACAACATATGTAACACATATTTATATAATATTATCGTTTTGTTTTGTTGTACATACCACCAGGAACACAATCCATTTTGCACGATTTAATTTGAACACTTTATACTTGAAATATTAACGTTAGACCAGAGCTGTGAAATTTCGGTTAACTGCGACTGCCACAACTGTTCAGTGCGAAGGTCAACTTTGAACTGAGCTAGAGTTTTATGTACAGAAATGCGATCTTTGGTATTTCAGCATGAGGTGGGGGGTACAGTCCTCTACAAAATCCAATAGTCACATTTCATAAAATAAAAAATTTTTTTTTACTTTTGGCCACGTTTTCGGGATTCTGGCCCACTGTGCGACGCCTTCAATACCGAATATGTCGAATAGTGATTAATGTCATGTTTTCGCATAAGTCGTTGCACAACGGCGTTGTAAAATTCCTTCCCGTTATCGGTTTGCATGTTTTTCGGACATCTCTTGCTGTCTTGAATTATCTCAGCGATTGCGTCAGCTGTCTCGCTTTCTCCTTTACTCTTGAGTGGTACAGCCCACGCATACTTGCTCAACACATCGATAACGGTGAGTATGTAGTGGTAATCTCTGTTGAAACGGGAGTACGGACGCATCTCGACAATGTCGGCTTGCTACAGATCATCGTATCCTCGCACTATGACATGTCTTTGAGGGAAATTTTTTCTCGCTGACGCGTGCAACTCGTTTACCAACTGCCGTCTCTCCAAACTATGTTGCTTGTTGTTATTTTCACTATTCATTCTCGTTCGTTCACGTTCGTGCCACGTTGTTTTGAGGTTGTTTCGGGGTTCTTTCGGGGTTCGTTCACGTTGTTTCGAGGTTGTTTTGGGGTTGTTTCGGGGTTCTTTCGGGGTTCGTTCACGTTCGTGCCACGTTGTTTCGAGGTTGTTTCGGGGTTCTTTCGGAGTTTGTTCACGTTCGTGCCACGTTGTTTCGAGGTTGTTTTGGGGTTCGTTCACGTTGTTCACTCCCGTCCTTGGCCCATTCGAAAATCGTCTTTGACACGTTTGCAGCCTTTTTTACAGTCGCTTCTGACCCGTTCGTAGCCGCTTTTGATTCGATCGTAACCGTCCCTGACCTGTTCGCAACCCTTACTGAGTTGTTGATAGCCTTGTATGTAACCTTTAATGACTTGTTCGTAGCCTCGTTCGCAGCCCTGCTTGACATGTTCGTAACCTCGATCGTAGCGGTTGCGTTCACCACCGTTTCCAGGTCGTTCACTGCTGCTTCCGAGTCGGTCACTGATGCCACTCATTGTTGTTTGGTAGCACGCTGATCGTAGCTGTTCGTTTGCAACCACTTCTTCTAGACGTTTGTTTGATAGACGTTTCTGAGCCAACCGCTCATTAGATGTCTGTGTCTGAGGTGGTGTTTGGTGCATGCAAAAGTTCTTTTATCGCAGTCTCCAACGCTCGTACATCCTTCTCTAACGCAGTCAGCTTCTCATCAAACTCTTTCTGTTGGACCATCAATGTTTTAAAGCACTCTTCCAAGTACAATTTGTTGACGGCATCGGTATCCGCCTCAGGTTGCGCTACACGGCGAATCTTGCGCGATCTCGCGTCATAATCTGTAGCGACGCGACATAGAGCGTTTTTACGCACACATCTTCTCATCAATGTGTGCCAATGATCGCCGGTTGTATCAATTCTTCTCTCGAATAATCCAAATTTATTGATAGACATTTTTGCAATGCTTTGTAAAGTGTCACGCGATGAACTGAATAGATTGTCGGGACCCCCGTTTAATTTATAATAATGCCCGCTTCCCGCAGTTCCTCGATGATCGACAGGATCTCGTTGTCATGCGCGTTGTTGCCAGCTTGGCGCGAAGCGTCGAGCAATCGTAAGCGATCCACTAGCTCGTTGGAGTCATCCCAGTGCACGTAATCAATCTTATTGTCGGTTAGCGTCATAGCGCGAGGCATTCCCATGCCAGATTTTGGGCTCTCTACCCGCGTCAACGGTGCAATTATATATTTGTACTTGTCCCCCTTGCTACTCTTCACACGACCTTGCGCATCAAAATTGCGTTTATGCACGTTTGTCGTCAATAATATGTGCTTGTATTTTTGCAAATCGTCATCCCGGTAATCAGGTCTTTTCTTGAAGATCAACTTGTACAATCCGGGCGTTCCAATGTACCGCGTGTCGCCTATGATTATAGTGTCATCTTTGTCAATATCGAATCGCTTGCTGCCGAGCCGCATTTCATTCTCGCCGAAGTAGACTCCGTATACATTATCAATTTCTTTCTTCTCATCAGCACCGAGAAGAGCGTCCATGTACTTTTGTCCTAATGGCCCCCAATCCTTTCGCATCATTTGTCGACCTTCCGGCGATCTTAACCAGTGTCGAAGGGATATTTTGGGCGGGTCACGCGTGGTTTCGAAAACATTTTCGTCTACGAGTGTTTTGGGTATCACAGGTTGTGCGTTTTTCGGTGTAGATGTTGTCGGCAGTGAAGCGTCCAATGGCTTCGAAATATCATATTTTCTCTTTTTCAATTCCTCCTCCTGTTTATATCGCTTGATGGTTTTATGTTTTCTCTTTTTCGGTGTCTCCCCCTCATACATGTCTCAATCTTCACACCGTCGTCGTTGTCGTCGTCGGTGTTAGGCTCGTTTTTCACCGAAATCGTCGCGTTGTCGACAATCTTTTGTAGCGGCTCGATAATAGGTTTAAAGTGAGTCTTGACGGCGATATCATCATCGATCTTTCCGGTCTTCAGAGCGCGGTGTTTCTTGCGGATCGATTCGGCCGTCTTCGCAATCTCCTTGGCAACCTTTTCACGCTCGCGAATATTATCAGCCATGTCGGCAGCACTCTCTAGAGTTTCTCTCGACTGGGAGGATTGTTGGCGACGACTAATAGCTCTGCGGTATCGCGAACTCGTTAAATCCTTTTCTGTATCGCCCGTTCGTAAGCGAGCTGTCCTTGTCTATCACTAGAAATCCATACTTTTGTTGCCAACATGTACGACATAACTCACTGAAATCCTCATACGACATGTCGGTATTCACGTGATTGTTGTACACGTGCTTCAAATTGGTAGCGTCCTGTTTAAACAGGATTAGCAGGTTCGCGTTGTCGCGTATAAGATGTTTCGGTATTCTCGCGTATGTCTGACAGAGATAGAAGCAGTCGATGTTCGAGTGGCGCCCCATTGAGAAGTACTCTCTTATCGTATCCTGCTTGTCGCATGCCACGTCATCAAAGACAAAAATTGAATTTGGATATGCCTCGCTCGGTGGAATGACGTCACTGTTATTGGAGAATGTAAAGTAGCCGATTTCGTCAATCGGCGTCAATAAATCTTCCAAATAGCGATATTTCGGCTGTTGCAGCAATTTCGAGTACACGTACACGTTCTCGAAACGCACACCGTGCGGACTTTCCAGCAAGCTTATCAACACGTTGGTTTTACCGCAGTTTGAGGGGCCGCAAACGATCGCGCGTATAGTTGTCGGTAGCATCGTACCGTGTTTGCACACACCTTTGTTCACGCTGCAGCGTACTCTGTCGTCGTAATTCATCACTCGTATCGTCAGAGGTTGTTGCACGAATTTCATTTTCTCACTCCCGACTTGACCTCCAACGTCCGCCTATTTATAGCTGCGCGGACTCGCGCTTTGCTCAGTAATGTCTAGAGATTGCGGCGGATGTCAACGAAAATAGGCACAGGTCTATTAAATCGTGCGATAAACGCACTTCCGGTCGAGCTTCATAATCCCGGCTATCAATTTTGCGGCCCGGGAACTCGTTTGGAAAAGCGTTTGGCTAGAGGTAATCAAGGCGTCAACCCATTGGACGCGGCGTGTCGTGAACACGATATAGCGTACTCTCGGAGCAGCAAACTCACCGAGAGACACGCGGCGGATAAGGTACTCGCCGAGAAAGCGAAAACACGCATCGTCGCGAAAAACTTGAATCTCGGTGAGAGAGCCGCGGCCGCAGTTGTCTGGGCAGCGATGAAAGCCAAGACGAAGCTCGGCATGGGCTTGAAGAAAAGGACGAAGAAGAGGAGGGTACTTTCGGCAGCGAAACGAGGCGGATTTTTGCCGATTTTACCAATGCTGAGCGCGCTCGGATCCCTGGTCGGCGGAGCGGCTGGCGTAGCAAAAGCGGTGAACGACAATAAAGCCGCGCAACGTCAGTTGCAAGAGATACTACGCCACAATCGCGCCATGGAAGGCCGCGGACTGTATCTCGCCCCTTACAAATATGGACGAGGAGCGAGGAAAAAAAAACGTCAAAAAAACGTTAAAAATGCCGCAAGGTGTAACTACAAATGTGCAATTGCTACAACTTGCAAAACGTATGCACATTCCATATTTTAAAGGTGTATTTAGGCGCAATAATTTACCGATAAATGGCGCGCGAGAAAATGAGAGCGGTATCGTCAATTTGGACAGCACAGACGGTCCTGGCACTCATTGGGTTGCATATGCAAGAAGGGGAAATCGCGCAATCTATTTCGACAGTTTTGGCAATCTTCGGCCACCCGAGGAATTGGTGCGATATTTAAATGTGCCGAAATTGGAATACAATTACACCTCTTATCAAACGTATGATCAGAGTATCTGCGGACAGTGGTGCTTGCAGTTTCTCCGAGATTTCTCGCCGCGAATGGAAAGACACAGCGAGGGAGACGGAGCAGAGCCTCCATCACCTGGGTAAGGCGACTTATATACCACAGAGGTTGCGCCAGGTGCCCCTGGGGGATCGTTTGCGGTCGCGCAACTTAACCTCCCCGCGGCCATGCAGCCCCAGACACGATGCCTCCCATCCTGGCTTGAAAGGGACCTCGGGGCCCCGGGTGCGTCATGCCCGTACTACTGTCGAAACGTCAGTAGCCTCCTGGGGAAAGTAGATAGGAACAGATGTCCGTGGTTGATTTAACGTGCGGTACCTGCTCAGAGAGCTTAATCACACGACCCCCATGGGTGCGGAATTGGGATAAGCCCAATCAGCTCGTTCCAGCAGGCCAGGAACTACCAGTAGCGCCTCCGAGTTTGTTGGACTCTTCGGCAACCCACCGGTTGGGGCGAGCGCCTGTCCAACGCTCTACCAGCTGTGCAG